GGGGCACAAAATTAAAATGCTAAAATAAGAGCGAGTTTGATCCAAAATCTCTAAATTCTTGTTTATGGCAATTACATGTAAGTAGTCCCGTTTTTATATTTACCAAGCATTTTTACCTCAATTTTGTCTATAACACGTTTTTGAGAGCGCTCCGCCAAAATACGGCTGATGTAAATCGTTTGAATTCAAAATTTCGGGGGAATGTTTGTAGTAATGACATGTAAAACATATAAAACACTCAGTTTTGTGACTCCTGCATGTTTTAAATTTTTCTGGTTTCAAGTGTAACCCATGAATTGTGTAGTGTTCATCTGGGATTTCAATTCCCCTCCCCCCCCCCCCATTACCGCGCTCCCAAATTCCACCCTCGATGCCCCCTCTAGTATTATTTATAATCTCTATGAGTATATTTACGTCACCCGTTTCACCTATGCTAAAACGCTTAAAGGGTACATTCTAAATTTCAGAACGCCGCATGAAGCGTGGCCAGATTATAACCTAACTTTATCGACATAAATTAATCTGCTTTTCACTGTCGTTTAAAATTGTAGCCATGTTTCGTGCGGCGTTCTAAAATTTAGAATGCACGCTTTAAGCGTTTTAGCATAGGTGAAACGGGTGTGTTTACGTTCTTTAGCCAAGTGAAAATCAAGAAGATTTTCCCACATATGTCTATGAAAAAACTGTTAGTCCGACATGACAACACGGGTTGGGGCGCTGGCTGGCATCTTGATAAAGTAAGTATCCATGTTATATTGATGTATATAGACCGGGGCTTCAGTGGCGCTGTCGTCAGAGCATGCAAGCGTCAGAGCAAGCGTGGGTTCGATTCTCGCTGCGGACTCGTGTGAAAAGAGTCAGTCAACGCTCTGCCAAAAGTCGTGGGTTTTCTCCGGGTGCTCCGGTTTCCTCCCACAAGGCACAGAGAAAGTTGACAGGGTGGGTTAGGATAAACAAAAGATAAAATATAATACTTGATGTAAAGCGCATTTGATCCACATTATCCACATACAGGGTGTATAAAAAAACTGAACAGATTTGAAATTGCCCTCAATTTTGCAAAACAGCTATTAGTATCCACTTTTTGATGTATATAGCATCTTTGGGTACTTATAAGGTAGAATAATGAAAAAAGTTTCTCGAACTCAAATTTTGTGAACCAGGGGGGGGGTGTCTTTTCCAACAAACTAAAAATGGCTTGCGCACGAAGTTTAAAGCTTTGAATCGTATTTTGAGTTAATGGATGGAAAATTTGTTGGGTTTTTAATTACTGTACAAAATGTCAGATAATTTGCTTTAGTATAAGCCCTTTAACTATCCATTTTTTCCTAAAAAATCAGCTTTTCGCATGCTTAATTAATTCCTTTACCTAATTTGCATATTGCTGACATATGTTATCAAAAGTTGGGCACTTTCACGGTTACGAATGATTTCCTCCACCCTCCCTACTCTCATATATATACGCTTATGCTATACGGTGTAATTTATAAACATGAATGTTGTAATTTCAGATCATTATAAAAGACAAGACGACGGGAGAAGTTGTTACTTTTAAATGCTATTGTTGGATTGAGGGCGTCAACACAAAGACCCTTACTCCATGATAGCTGAAGCTTTGTAAGTCTATACAATTTAACCTTCATTACAACTAGCTTGATTTTAGCAAAGATGAGACAAACAGAACACTATTTCGTCAATCATGCATATAGATTAGAAAAGAGAATGTTACTCCATTGTGTTTTGGCCTGACTTCAGACTAGTTTCCTAGCTTGCAGGACTATATAACTTGCTTTAGTAACTCTCCCCTACCCCAGTGTCTAATGCCGAAAAACTTGCTTTGGGACTAGTCTTCAACAAGAGTTGACAAAAATAAAAAGGAAAGCAATGCAGTGCCAGTGGGGAAAATGTACCTGTGAATTTTTCAAAGACATCAAATAGCTGTTGTTTATTGGACTCCTGCTGTTTTGATGATTTGAAAAACCGACTTGCAGCTGGTGGATGCTTGATGGAACTGCAAACAAACTATTGCTTCAAGTCGTTTTTGGCGGTCATAAAATTTGCTCATGTCATGACCTCTTTGGGAAAACCACCGTGTACAATCTAGAACCTAATTGTATCGTGTTTTTAAAGTGAATCATTAGCATTACAATGTTTAAGTTGAAGAAAATCTTTCAGTCTCTCTTATGATATTTTTTATTTTATTTCAAAACAAATACCGACACTATATGTGGTTTCATACATATTTTAAAATATTGATATTAAAAATCTGTATGATATTTTTTGTCTATTTTGTCAATAATATAAACACTATAGGGTTCATACAACTTTAAAAATTTGTATTTCTTTTTACAGACTCCTACAGTAATATCGTGGGGCCATACTGCTAACTAGATGGAGAATACAAATTCAAAAGTAGTAAACATGCAAGCTTCTAGAGCCATTATAGAAGAAACTGCATAATGTAGAAAAAGTGGAAAATAATGTATCAAGATTCAAATAAAGCTTTGAAATATAATTTTTATCATGAAAATGTTGTTGCATGATAATTAAATGTAGAATGCCTCGTACGTTATTACTCATTCAGTAGTGTTTCGAAAATGAACATAAAACAAATTAAAGTTCTACTAAGTAATCATTGAAGGCTTTTCTCGATGGAAATTTCCAGTGTGAAACGTATTGCACAGTCGTACTGTCATGTGCTGTAATCTGTTGTAATGTACCATAGTGTACTGTCATTGTACTTACCGAACGGTTACACTACACTGCCAATGTACTGTACTGTCCTGTGTTGCATGGATTGTGTTGTATATAACAACTTATAACAACTTAATTGTGTTGTATAACAACTGCCTCGTGTGTCGAGGTGTCTCTTTATCAGTAAAAACAGCAACTACACGTGTGGATGCATGACGAGTTCACATGAAGTAGTATAACAATGTGAAGTTGTACACTGGCTAGTGTAATAGTATCAGTTGTTTTCTCATGGCTATATGTGCTATTTAAAACATGAGCAGCAGTGTTTTATCAGATATAAAGATACGAGACAAAGCCGAGTGTCTTTAGGTCTGATAAAACACGCACTGCATGCGAATGTTTTAAATTGCTTCAAAAACGATCGATCTAGTAAGTTCATTGGTGAAGTAATTTTAAAAAAATACGTCGTCCCTATATCTATTCTGTGACGTCGTGTTAAGGCGGATTTCCAGTCCTCGCACGAAGCTCCTCGCAGCTCGCTGCAAGTGCATGCATGAGCACTTTCATCCAATCACAATGCTAAACAGTCAATTTTAATTAGATGCAAGGACTCGCAGCGAGCTGCGAGGAGCTTCGTGCGAGGACTGGAAATCCGCCTTAAGTCGAGAAAATCAAAGTTCATGTAAATCAAGGAAAATATCTATCACATAAAAATACGACACGCTTATGATTTTTCTTTGTGTTTTCCTCATGAATTTTTAATGAGTTTTTGAAATTCAGTTAAACTTTGAACAGTGAACACGGTCAGACAATCAGATCGAGAAATTGTTAAATGGAATATTTTTTCCAAACATTTGGACTTCGGATCGGTCTGGGAGGAAAACGTGATCATGATCAAATCGAAAAGAGGTTTATTTGACTACAATTCAGAAATTCTGGTCGTCCGACCTACCTGACCTTTCAATGGAAAGCGCCCAATGTAATTATTATTACCGATTTCTCTGTCTAATTTAACCACGAAACGCTGCATCACGACAGCATCCACTTGATTAGTGGCACAGAATAAAGACATACAGAAGTGTAACTTCCATTACAAAACCGTAAGGCGCTTTTTTACCGAAATAGCTGGCGGCCGTGTTCTTAGCAAGTGCCCTAAAGAGAAGCATTCACCCCCCTGGAATACTAAATTTTCAATATGTTTTCAGGGGGTGACTGCCTCTCTTTGGGGCACTTGCTAAGAACATGGCGGACTGAAAAAATCCCTTACGCGAAATTAACCTGAAGTGAGATCTCTGTATGTACTTCCTCTGTGTTAGTGGTTTCATCAAGCTTTTGCGGGACAGCAGATGGTGGTCAACTTTAGGAATTTTGACATTTGTAGAAACAAGAAAACTAAACTATCCCTCAATCTTTTTATTAATAATTTGCTTCCAAATACAAAACTACTAAAAATAATTAACATTATTTTCTCACTTTAATAACGGGCTGTAGGTATACCAACTTACACAGGCAATTTGAATTTGCATCAACTGTATTAATAGACTCATCTGACATGCTGTGTATATCCAATTTGTGTGTATAATTTTAGTTTCTTATTTGTAATTAAACCTATCTGTCTTTTTAATAAATGTTTTAGTTATATAGTGATTAGTGAGATTGCCACATGCAGTCATATAGAGCTTTAATAACAGATAAAATAAAAACAAACTAGACGATAAGCTAGCTGAAGCCATCTGCCAGTCCGAAGCGTTGGCATACAGAGGACAGAGTAAGCAAGATGACTCATAACTATATAAGAAAACTTCATATAATGGCTCTTTTCTCTGTGATATGTACTCCTGCTTGTGAAGTTTTTGCTAAACAAAACAAGAAAACAGCATTCCATAGAGGTTAAATTTTGGCAGTTATTCCCTTGATTTTTACTAAGGTGTATTACTCCGAAAATTTAGAAAAGATTTTTACTCTGAATTTAAAGCAGTTAATGATGATTTTGGAAGAAGTTTCCGTATTTTGATACCGATTTTGCCAACAAACTTGTTTTATTACATTAATTGTTCAAATTGCACAAAACGTTTTTATTACTTTTATATTTTTCAGTTCGTACTTCGGGCTTGTAATATAACATTTTATGAACGTTTTATTATAATGGTACATGCATGCAACGTAAAATTAATCTCCTTCAGTTTGTGCACGCATGTGCAACGGTGTCGCAATATGTTATAGTTATACCATTGCAACTTGCATATTGCAAACCCGCCGTAAAATTTGGATTAGAATCAGAATAAGCTTGGACCGAATTAGATTAAGATATTGAAATTGGTTTGTCTAACACGCTGTTCTTTCTCTTAACTACTTCAGTGTTGTTTCAAGGAGACATTGCATTTGATGCTCGTAACAAACATCAGACGAACGACAACATTCATGAGGGCAAAGCACCACGGGAATTAATCACTGGTACTGAAAACCACTGGCCCAAAATTGGGGATAAAGTTCATGTTCCATATGTCATTGAAGGAATAGGTATGTTCACAGGTTATGTTCTGCATGGTTATTAGACAAAACGTTTGTTCGTAGGAACTATAGTATAGGGATGCAACTAAGTTATACCTGAAAAATACAATGAGAAATTCGACGTTTCAAGCTATAATTTCTCCTTGACGTCTTCTTCATGTATAGTACCCCTGAAAAGTATCAGTAACCGAATTAGATAACAACACCATTCACATACTCCTCATTCTCCAGGAAATAATATGCGCTCCTTGGTAAATGATGCAATAAAAGTTTTTCAGAGATTGACATGCTTAAAGTTTATGCCAAGAACAGATGAAAAGGACTACATTGCATTCACAGATAAAGACGGGTATTAATATCAAGTATTTTAATGTTATCTATATTGTTTCGTTAATGTCAACATGCACAAACTGGTAACGAACCCCCTCACACTAAAAAGTAAGGCTCGCTAACATTATAGGAAAATTTACCGCATATGTTTTTACATTTAATAAATATAAAACATTTTCCGTGTTGATATACAGTTATATCAAGATTGGGAAAACGAGAAATTGTGTGGAAACACGACGCCCAGAGGGCGGAGTGTTTTCACACAATTTCTAAAAACACAAGCGCGCAATAACTCGATATAGAAACACGGGGAATTTTCACGCGGGTTGCGCAGGAGTTTAAAAGACAAAATACAAACAATATTTAATATTGAAAAAAAGTTTGAAAACGTCCGAAAACGCAGAAGAATAGTCGCAAAAAAGGCAACGCTTGCTAATTACTTAGAAAGCAAAGACCTAAAGCACAAAGCACATAGTATAATACAACATACGTTGTACATGTTTGACTGTTTACCAAGGTAAGATATTCGTGTGAATGTTTCCACGCAATTTCTCGTTTCTTCCAAACTTCCACGCGTGTTTCTATAACTCTATAGAAACACGAAAAATGTTTTCTATTTCTTAATTATAAATGTTTAATGTAATATGAAACGTGCATGCAGGTGCGGTGGCTAGCTCCCACACCTCTAAACTAACTTTGAGAGCGATCTCGTAGTAATAATGATGACCATTACTCATTAGCTTTTTGAAGTTGTCCGTATATAAAGAAGTTATAAAGAAGATTGAATGTTGTCACTATTATAATCATTAAAGATCATTGCAAGAAATAGTGCATTGCATTGGCAAGGAAAACTAACCACGCATTTTCCCAAAGTACAATGTTTCAAAAACTCACGAACACTTTTGACACTTCATGCATAACACATACTTATGAGTTTGGAGAGTGGGGGTTAAACAATATCCATTACTATCCGTTCAAAGCACTCTACAATCATTTTAAAAAATTGTTGAGACACTTGCGGTTTTAGAACATCAGTGCATGGATATCTGCAAATTCAATTACAAACATTTATATCTCCCTCCAGCCTAGACCTAGGCCTTCTAGTCTTATTTATATTTTTTAGTATTCAGCGGTTTTTCACATGAAAAGACTGGGACTAGGTGATTTGGGGGCGGGGCGGAGGATTGCGTCAGGCTTGTGTCCTTCCTCCGCCCCGCCCCCAAATTACCTAGTCCCAGTCTTTTCATGTGAAAAAGCGCTGAATATTAAAAAATATAAATAAAAATAGAAGGCCTAGGTCTAGGCTGATCTCCCTCCACATTCAATGTTGTTTACCCGATCACACACGAAAGTAAGATGCTAACTAAGACTCAACATTGAAAGATGGGCGGTGGGGATGGAAGTTTGACAAAATGATAGGTAGCTAGTTAGTAGTTAGGGCATCTGTCCCAACACATTTGAAAACGATTGTAGCTAGACCGTACGCAGGATGTTTTCACCAGGGGGCAGTAAGCCCTATATGCCGAAAAAAGTTCCAAAAAGAATATCCAAAGAATAATTAATGACATTCTAAAAATATAGTTTTCTCTAGCCCCCCCCCCCCTGTGTACGGCCCTTTATGGATATACCAATAGTTTCATTAATTAGCAAAAATGAAAGAGTAGTTAGTAGTGTCGATAAACATATGCAGTGATAATCAACTACAAAACATATACAGGGGCAAAAAACGACATTTGATGCATTAAAATGTATAAAATGAATTACTCATATTTACTTTTATTAGCTGTTATTCCTTTATTGGAAGAGAAGGCGGACGGCAAGATTTATCACTTGGTCAAGGATGTGGTTCACTTGGCACAGTACTGCATGAAATAATGCACGCTTTGGGCTTCCTTCATGAGCAAAGTAGACCTGACAGAGACAAATATGTCAAGATCCTTTTTGACAACATAGAAACAGGTAATGTACAGCAATAACCGACTCTTTTACAAACCTCAAAATTCAGGCATTGCCAATGACTACCGAACAATATTCCCAAGGCCTGATGGCCGATTAAGAAAATCTTGCTTACTATTGAATCCAGAATACTGTTGAATGTTGAAGTTTGGTACATTAGTATAGGCCATTAAATATAAAGTTCTATTCAAGGATAATTTAATTTATTTAAACGTCGATTTCAAGCAAATATGTCACAGTATTAGGCCGCAAAAAAAAGAAAAGTTGGTTAGCGTCCTCGCCCGCCCACAAAAAGGCCCCGCTCAGGATTTTTTAAAATTTTTTATTTAAAAAAAACCCAACTTTTATTGATCAGTGGGCTCTAATATATGTAGTATTTCTGTTGACTGTAGTCAATTGTGTTAATAAATTGCGTGCGAAAATGACGGTATGAATCATATTTTGAATATATAAAAAAAATATCTGTCCTGCGCAAGACTTGAAATCCAGTTTCGGACCTAAAACCAAGGCGTTAAAAATGAGTAAAAATTAAAAAAAAAGCGCCCGCCCGCCCGCCCACTTTTTGGCAAAAGCTAAGGACGCTAACCAACTATTCAGTTTTTTATGTGGCCTTAAGCCTATTGAAACATGATTGAGATTACCTACCTCACTCTATATAACCTTCACCTTGTAACGTCCGATGTTGGAATAATAAGTTGGAGAGTTTCCAAGATTCACATTTTTTATGCTATAAAAATACATATATTCGTCCTCTTCATTTTTAGACAATAAACCTCAATTCGATATAACTAAGAATGGTTTAATGGACACAGCAGATGAGCCTTACGACCTGAATTCCTTGATGCATTACAAGAACAGAGAGTTTTCAAAGAATGGACTCAACACAATCCAATCCAAAACAGACCCAAACTTAAAACTTGGAAATGACTTTTTGTCCAAAGTGGATGTTCTTCAAGTCAACAAACTTCTTGATTGTTCCACTCGATATTGGGATGGTATAGAATTTTTTATTTTATATATCAGTAGATAATATACATAGCCTAGTTGGCTTGAAAATATTTCGACCTTAATATGACTGGAAAGAAGTAACATACCTTGTTCATGTTGGCACTAATATTGACCTCTACTATTTGTAATTAAAATAATTCTGCATTATTTTCTCTTTTTGAACTTCTTGATCATTGTTATCTGATCTCTATCCCTTAGACTATGTGATCTAACCCAGCAATTGGGTAACTATAATTAATATAGTTTGATTTGATGCTGTGTACAAAATGACTAGGGGAAAACAGATTTCTTTGAAGGATTGTTATGCCAGTCATAATTAATTTATGATTGTTACTGTCCAGTTAAAAATAAAGATTATAAAATATAGAAAAATATTGCTAGTTTTGTCTTTTTTTGCAGTGACAGAATATTCCATAACCGTGTATACATCAAATATGTGGTGGGCAGGAACCGACGCAAATGTGTTTTTAGAGTTAAGAAGCAATAATGGTGATAGCAGTGGGGAATTTCAACTACATGGTGGATTTGAAGCTGGGGAGTAAGTATTTCTATTTTTTGTTAAAATGGTGCCAAATATGGAAACTGATACGCGCGGGTGCAGTATTCGTCATCTTATCCCGTTTCCACGCCTCCACTTGAAAGTGCTATTGTTGCGTTTTCAAAAGCTCCAGTCAGGACCTTGCATTTCCGGTAAGCATTATATACGTATGGACAGAAGAGTCCACAATTAACTAATACATGTTTCCAAATGTCCATGCATATTCAAAAGATATATAGAACAAGGCTTTAGTTTGCTATCGGAGTTGTAGCTATATATATATATATATATATATATATATATATATATATATATATATATATATATATATATATATATATATATATATATATATATATATATATATATATTTCCAGTCAAAGTGTGGCTGGTGCAGGGAGGTATGAATGGGCGTTATTGTTATTGGTATAGATCTATAGATTATAATTATATAGTAATGTTTGTATAGAGATGCCCAAAGCATCTTACGCATGGCAGGTTATTGGCAGCCGGGACAGCTTCCCCTCCCTGACCCCGTTTGAGTACTTCATGTATGCAGCAGGCAATTTCGTCCGTCTCCTGAAACGTCCTTGCACGAAAAAATCTTAATTTAACGGTTGGGAGTTCTCAGTTGTATGTACTGTACAACTTTACACTTTTCCTTTATCAGAACAGATATCAGTTCAAACATTATTGCAACACGTCTCGACTTCCCAAGTATATTGAACGTCCGCCACGACAACAGTGGGTATTTATCAGCATGGCATTTGAAAAAGGTAATATAGTTATTGTCCATATTTTTACATGCACTTTCCTTCTTAACGTTATCTTGGCCGGAAGCTGCACACCGTCAGTTATATACAGTATAGCTATAGGCACAGAATAAGGTACACAGAAGGCCGACTTCTTGTTTTTTCCTATGATTTTCCTATGATTTTGGCGTAACCCGTAATTCGTCTTCAAATGCTGACGCCATGGTCGCAGCCAGTGCGCGTTTGAGAGGCATTAACCCCCCTGATATTATTCAAAATAGCGGTCGTCCAGGGGGGAATGCCTCTCAAACGCGCACTGGCTAGGACCATGGCGTCAGCATTTTGATGATGAATCATGGCGTGGCAGCGGTTATTCGAGTCGACCTTCTGTGTGCCTTATTCTGTGGTATAGGTACGTCACCACAGACTCACAGCGCTTGTCTTAGCACTAGCTCCATCATAGGTTCAAGACAATAATTGTCTCAGCCTTGAAAATGAAATATATCTTGAACTTATCTCTTCTAATGGCAGATCTGAAACATACTTGAATTTCAAAGTGGGAGAACATTGCATTGTAAAGCCCTTAAAGCATAATATAATATTGTATGTCTCCATAGACTATACGTCTATATGTCTCTGGTGTTTCGACGTAAGATTTAGCATGTCAGTTCGGTTGAATTCCTAAGAAATATTTATATTTTAGATTGATGTGAAGGATATGAGTGATGGAAAAAAATATACATTTGTTTGTAACTGTTGGCTCCAAGGAAACTCCAATGTCAAGTTTCTTACTTTAGATTAAGGCATCTGACGATATTAGATCTGAATGATTTGCTGACTTCTTGTGACTTGCGTATAGAAGTATTTACAGTTCGAATGTACTAACTATATACATAATAAGTTCTTTGTAGGATTGTATGGAGATAAAACATATAATTTTATATATGTCATATCATATATGTTTGTGGAAAACACCACGTAAATTTATTACTGCAAAGCTTTCGATCCGTAAGCCCGGATCTTTAATAAGAAGAGGGACCGAAAGCTTTGCAGTGAAAACATTTACGTGGTGTTTCCACAAACAAAAAGTATTATATACGTAATATTTAATCAATAATAATTTAATAATTTATTCATTTAAATAAAGCGCATATATATTATATACTCGAAGCGCTGTACATTATAAAAATCTAAATATATTAAGAATTAAATATGCTATATAAAACATGGTATTGTATACAATTAGAATATACATTAATGTATGTATCTATAATAAGAATGATAGAATCCAATATGGTCTCAACCTATAAAGGGTTATAAGCCTTATTGAAAAGAAATGTTTTCAAGCGTTTCTTAAACACAGAAATGTTTTCACAGTTCCTGACATCCATGCAGAGGCAGAGAATTCCATAATTGTGGAGCAGCATGTGCGAAAGCCCGATCTCCTAGAGTCTTACAGTTTGTTTTCGGGATGTATAATAGACCTTGACCATCCGATCGTAATGTCCAGCGATCACTTGATTGTTTTGGGATAAGCATTTCAAAGATGTAGATAGGGGCAATGTAATTAAGAGCCTTGTAAACCAGTAAAGCAATTTTGAATTCCACCCGGAATTTTACCGGTAGCCAGTGAAGTGATCTCAAAACTGGGATGATGTGAGAAAATCTTGGACAGTGGTAGATTAGTCTAGCAGCGGCATTAAGAACTCTCTGAATTCGCTGGACTTGATACTGAGGTATGCCAGCCAACAGAGCATTACAATAGTCCACGTGTGATGTCACGAAAGCATGTATCAAAGTTTTCGTTGTATTAGTAGATAAAAATTTTCTAATTTGTCGTATTTTATAAAGTCCCCTGAATGCTTTACTGCACATCTTGCCTACATGAACTGACATTGACATATGCTTGTCAAATCAAGATCCCAAGTTTCGAACACTGTCAACCGGCTTAATTTGGACCCCACCAACGTTAACGGATTCAATCAGTTTATTTTCAAAAGTTGTTGTGGTGTACCAATTACAAGAAATTCCGTTTTCGAATCTTTGAACATTGATTTATGAGCAACAGCCAAGTACGAACATCAGAAATACAATCTTCCAGTGCGGCTAGGGTACTTTCTGAATTATCTTCACAATCTGGGCGAAAGGATACATAAAGTTGCGTGTCATCAGCATATCCATGAGAAGAGGGTAAGTGCCTGTCAATAATGTCATATAGTTGGGATACATAAAGCAGAAAAAGTATGGGGCCAAGACAACTCCCTTGAGGCACTCCGTACTTAACATCGCAGTCTTCAGAAAAATTGTTATCCAGATCAACTCTCTGTTTCCTGTTCAATAGATATGATTTTATCCATTCAAGAGCCCTATCCGTCACTCCAAATTGATACTCCAATACGTCAATGATAGTTTTATGATCAATTGTATCGAACGCTGAGCTTAAGTCCAAGAGTACAAGAAAACACACTTCCTGCCTGTCCATACTCAGAAGAATATCGCTTTGCACCTTTAGCAGAGCCGTCTCTGTCGAATGATATTTCCTGAAGCCAGATTGACAGATAGGGAGAGGTGCATGTTTTTCACAATGGTTCAGCAATTGGTTGGCGGCTGCCTTTTCAGTGATCTTAGAAAGAAATGACAGATTGCTCACAGGCCTAAAGTTCGCAAATACTGGGTCCAAGCTAGACTTTTTCCGAGATTTGGTTTCAGCATGCAGAGCAATTTTCCAGTGATCTGGGACACGACCCTCCTGCAAGGATAAATTTACAATTTTGGTGATAGAGGGAATTAGTTCCAGACAACAGATTTTAACAAGCCATGATGGGATCGGATCAAGCTTGCAGCTGGCACTGGACAATTGCATAATAACATCATGAATATCTTCATATCATGAAGATTTATTAATTAGTAACGCTCGTCGTATATACATATGTCATATATAAGCGTTGATTTTCTTGACAACAAGAATGCTCAATGCTGACTTAGTACAGCAACATTTGATTTAGTTGGTTTGTATAAAAAGCTTGCAGAACTACAACATTGCTCTTTTAATTAATTTCAAAAACGTATATTAATAATGCATGACTCATGAGGAAAACACAGAGAAAAATTATAAGCGTGTCTTATCTTTATATGTGATAAAGATTTCCCTTGACATACATAAACTTTAACTTTGATTTTCTCGACTTACACAACGTATTTCTTGGCACAACGTATTTCTATAGATCGATCGTTTTTGAAGCAATTTAAAACATGAGCATGCGCAGTGCGTGTTTTATCAGACCTAAAGATACTCGGCTTCGCCTCGCATCTTTATATCTGATAAAACAGTCTGCTGCTCATGTTTTAAACAGTACATATAACACCATGCACGTTTATGTATTTCGCAAAGCTTTATTCCTTTTCCGTAAGCCTACATGCACTATAATGAAAATCCAGGCTTCCGGGTCGAAACTAGTTTACGGAATCCACAAAAAAATCAATGAAACCCCTAACCCTAACTTTTTAAACTTTTTTGAAAATCTAACTTTTTAAACTTTTTTGCTTTTTAAAACTCTTTTAAAACTTTTTTGAACTATTTTTTAAACTATTTTTTTGAAAATCTTGAAAAAATCTTAGTAATATTTAGCATAGAATAGGTAATATAATCATATCGTATTGTGTTGTAGCATGTTGTAGACTATACTTAATTGCATCGTATTGCATTCACTTGTGTTGTATCGAAGCTAAATTTTGTTTTTCGCCGGCATACTGTTGTAAAATGTAAATGTAAATTATCTTTAGTTTAGTGTGATGAAAATCATTGTATCTTATTTGTAGGACAGAAGAGCCACTATGTGGAAATGCTATATTAAAATCATTATTATTATTATTTACAGCGCATGCGTTAATCTGTTCGCACAAAATGTTTCGCATTTCGCAGAGAAAAAGTGCTCATGGAAGTCGGACGCGATAGACAACAACAGTGACAAATGAGAAGATATAAGGAAGATCGGGACGAGAGAAGTGCAATAAAAACATCTTAAAGAGACAGGTTTCTTGACTATATATACCGGGTGGCCCAAAAAAAAGTACTCCTGTTTGATTCGTAATAACATCTAAACAAGTATAGCTTTTAAAGAGAAATAACTTGCATCAAATAGAGGAAGGACTAACTTAGACTTTGATATATTACAGTTGTATTTCACTTAAAAATTCACGGAGATATTAATCTTTAAATTCGGGAGGATATTTCTGGATGTGTCTGAAATATGCAAAAATCGGCGTATCAAATATTAATCAAGATTTGCCCGACTGAAACATGCACTATTACCAGTAAATAAATGACACTTGACAAATTGTTTATTATGAAACAAAGTATTATTATATCTACAAAATACAAGCAAGATTCATTCGTCCGAAATTCGCGTGTGTTCCTAGCACGAATACGTTTCCTTATTTCATGAGACCACTGCATCGCGAAGGATCGTCATTGGATCGTTCGTAGTTCTGAATTAGGGCATGCTGTCACAACGGAATTGTGAAGCTCTTCTAACTTCTGCAACGTTCTGAAATCTTGTTAAGAACACCCAAACTCTTTTGCCGTTTCTTAATCTTGGCAAGTTCATGGAGTAAACTGAGAATTATATGAAACACAATCAAACCATACAACTCCATAAGACATAACAATTAAGCAACTCCCCAGAGACATGCAACATTTTTGGAACAAAACGTAACAAAATAGTAGCGTTGATACGGTGATGTGTATTTGCAAAAAGCAATATTATTTCCTTCAATAAAGAATATTCATCCTGCTCTAACCGAGAAATAATCTACTCAGTCTGTTTGAACCCATTAAAAACATAAAAAAATTAGGCTATTTAAGAATACGAAAAATTTAAGCGCCTGCCTTCCATGGTCAGTCTTTCATGTACATTTAAGTTTGCAAAGACCTAATATTAAATACTTGCATAATTTCGAACGTTCATATTTCAGGAAACAATGAGCTAAGACTTACATGTAAGATGTCTAAATCTACGCCATATCCCTTACAAACCTTAACGATAATTCGCTGAAATACAAGTTAGCCTAATATGTCATTAAGCAAACAAACGCTGGAGTTAATATTTGATATGCCGATTTTCGCTAATTTTAGACACATTCCAAAATATGCTCCCCATTTTTAACATTAATATCTCCGTGAATTTTTAAGTTAAATACAACTGTAATATATCAAAATCTAAGTTAGTACTTCCTCTATTTAATGCAAGTTATTTCTCTTTAAAAACTTTACTTGTTTAGAAGTTATTACGAATCAAACAGGAGTACTTTTTTTTGGGCCACCCGGTAGCCATGTCAGAAAACGTGACGTGTGGATGATCTATCACACGTCATGTTCAGTGCATGGATGGTGCCCAAAGACGAATCATGTACTTGAAATCGCAGTCAAATGTGAAACACACGAGACCGGCCAAACTTGTTCCGTTCCATTTTGTTCACACGGGAATTTGTACGGTTAGCCAGGGCGCAGTAAAACACTGTGTTTTACTGCGCCCTGCATGGGTTAGCTGTGCTCGAATTCGTCCGATTTCGTGCTTCCGGGGTGAACTCGAAAAACGAAATCGTACAAATTTAAGTACGGTTCGTAATTCATCCGGTCTCGTGTGATGAACGAAGCCTAAATCTCCCTACGACAAGCCACACATGAGCATGGCATGCACTCTTACCCAGAGACTGACAAAGACATGCACTCTTACTCAGAGATTGATACTATATCAAACCTAATATTTTACTTCACTTGACCTCATGATGATTAATTTTCTTTTTACTTTATGTTCTGCGTGCAAAATGTATAATATATAAATATACAACTGGAGTGATATAGGCCTGCAATGTACAATCCAGACATTTAGTCCTCTTCTAACACATACGTACTAGGTTATAAGAAATGACGACAAAAATAATACATGGCGTGCTCTTTAAAGCCTCCACAGATGGCGTGATGGGCCTGCAAAATTGACGACGAGTATTTTAATACTCGATTTAAAAATCGTCAATAATGTATTATGAAACCTTAACGTCTTAACATATGAAACTCACTTTGTAGGAAATCATTTTGCCGTCACTGCATTGAAAGGCATTTCGATAGCATGTATTACTATTAATAAGTTTTAAATTACTATTCGCCGGAGTAATGAAAGTAACGTCACCTGAATTGTATATATTGATCTATACTATATTCATCAAATTTCATTATAAAATGAATGTTATAATTAGAAATAGAAGTTTGAAATTAATATCATGCATAACTATTAACAGCCGACCGTTTAATTTCAAGACTGATTGAAATACAAAATTGAATCAAACAACGCTGAACACTAGTATACTAGACTCGTCAATATAATTAACAAAACAATTTAAATCAAAATCTAACATCTTAAATTTAACAAGATGCATACTTTCGTTACTTGTTTTATTTTAATATTATGCATGTTATAACAGCAATACACTGAAGCGCTTCCTGTCATTAAAAGTAATTAATATTGATAACAGCCTGTACAACATAACACCACTTTATTAAAAAGTGTGTACAAATTAAATTGTCTTCAACATTTTAATTTTCCAGTATCACTATATAATCTGACAGTCCTTATGAGGATTATTTCCTTAGATATTCTATGCATGCAGAATCGTATAGTATAGATCAGCTATATGAATTTGAACTTTCCCAAAGGCATAGAGAAAATGCCAGAATCCAGGGAAAAATCTTTATTTATTGAATTTACAGAATCAACAACACTTCATGGGATTCGGAATGTGTTTTGCGGCGACTCAAAACTTCGACGTTTCATTTGGTTTCTTTGTGTACTTGGTTCTACTACGTGTTTTGTTTGGAACTTTACAGGCTTGTTACGATCGTATCTCAAGGATGAAGTTATCACTCGTGTCATTGCAGTAAACCAAGATAATGCCACGTTTCCTGCAGTCACTATCTGTAATTTCAACCCAATACGACTAAGTTACATGCAAACGACACACCTAAATCATAGTGTGTCATATTCTGAAATATATGCTGCATACATGCTTAACGAAACTGCTGATTATGCCTTCGACTCTACGACTACGCATACGTTTTTTCTAAACGCAAGTCATCAAATTGATCATATCCTGTTGCAGTGCACACTACAAGGAACAAAATGTCTACCTAGTGATTTCAAAAAGGTTTTTACGAATATGGGTGTCTGTTATACCTTTGACCATGGTAGGTATGATAGTATTCAGTACAACCTGAAATCACTGCAACATTGCATGTATGCATGTAACGTGAGCTAAAATAGGATAGAGAAATAGTATGACATGACTTTCAAGACATGATTAATTCGATTTGCTCCTATAACTTAGTTCTTCCTGTTCCGTGAAGAACATTTACCACAAGAGCATGATCTCGCCCGCGCAATCGTACACGCGCCAACGTCTTATCGGCTCATCATGACAGAACAAAAAAGAATCACTTTTCATGAAATGATCAACTCACAGCCAGATCATCCATGCATGGGTCTTCCTCTTTTTTACTGCTGTCTGGTGTCCAATTCGCTCTAATGTTCTAAATGTTCTCTCCTATACAGAAAAACGCCTTGCAAGTTCTGGCAGTATCGTCAGTCCAGGAGAAAAGTTTGGTTTAGCCATGACACTGAACGCAGAAATTGATAAATATGACATTAGACTTGCTGAAGATGTTGGATTTAAAGTTTTAGTTCATGAGAAAAATGAACACCCACTAGTTGAGGGGAATGGTTTTGCAACAACGCCAGGGCTGTCCACTTTTGTCGCAGTCAAGGAAAATAAGGTAAGAGGAATGATACGAGACAGGGGGCAACTGCCAAGAAAATTCAGGCAGAAAAATCAAAAAAATTCGGGGAGATTTATCACAAAATAGGTTAAATTCAAGTAATTTCATTACAATCCTCCAAAAAAATTCGGGCAAACTTTCAACTGCCCCCCCTGTCCGGTACGCCTGTATACATGATGCATGCAGGCATTTTGTTTTTCTATGATATAATGTCCGAGAAAAAAATCCCCTTAACCAAAGACAAATTAGTGTATCAATAAGGAAAGGTAATCCTAACCAAAGAAAGGTCACTCTAACTATATACCTATACAGTATAGTAAGCTACCAGGTTTAACGATTTACTTGTATCATACTGTATCAGGCCGAACGTTACACTTTTCTCTTCTGTCCAAATAGGCTATTATAAAACCCATCATGCAGGTTATCTCCTGTTATAGCGATGCCGATCTATAATGATTTGCATATATATCGAGTATATATACAGTATTAAGTAAAGTTACAAATATTAAATACTGTTTAATCTATTAAAAATCTTGTTTTGTGTAGGTGAAAACATTTCCGCCACATTGTGAAAACAAAAAGCTTATTGGTAAATTATTGTATACAAAACCACTTTGTTATGAAGACTGCAGAAGAAGATATGTAACTGAAAAATGTGGCTGTTATTACCTCGAGACATCAGGAGGTAATGCATGCATGTAAGTTATATTTGCAATTGTTATTTATTCATGAGCGCTATTGAATTGGATGCATGCATTTTTTTAAGTTGGAGACGATTATCGTTCTTGTACACTTCAGGAGGTGTTTGGATGTGTTACCAAAGAATCAGGTAAGTCAGAAAACATTGTTGGATGAACAGTCACACACAGGAATTCTATGTCGAGAAAATCCAAGCTAAAGTTTAATATGTAAATTAATATATTTTTATCAGATATAAAACCACTGACACACGGTAGTGATTTCCTTTGTCTTTTCCTCATGAATTATTAATGAGTTTTTAAACATAATTTACTTCTTCTAATAAATGTCAACATTTCCGCAGGAGACCATTTCCACGCCTGCATGGTCGTAACGCTTATATACTTAAACCCACTAATATAGGAATAATGTCTATATTGTATAAAATTAGGCTATATGTATAACACATGCACTGTTTTTATTTGTAGAGGAATTCACTAAACTTCCAAAGAAAAATTGTTCATGCCCACGACCTTGTGAACGGATTTCATATGATACAATGCTATCTTATGGTCTGTTCTTAGTAAAAACCGATACTGATTTATACAGGGCTGCTATGCAGGCTAGTCAGAGCGATCTTGACTACAATCAGTACATAAGATCGATGAATACGACGGAATATCTGCAATTTGCAAGGTATTTAATTATATTATATTATATTATATATATATATATATATATATATATATATATATATATATATATATATATATATATATATATATATATATATATATATATATATATATATATATATATATATATATATATATATATATATATATATAGTATATACTATATTGTATATACTATATTGTATATACTATATAGTATATATATATATATATATATATATATATATATATATACTATATATATATATATATATATATATATATATATATATATATATATATATATATATATATATATATATATAGCTTAAGATTTTGGTTTACGATTACGAAACACAAACAGTGCTCAATACCATATAGATAGAGCGTAATAGAGTTTTTCGTTTTACCTCAAAAAACCACAACAGTCTGTTTCATCTGTATAGGAATCATCCATATAGGAATCATCGATATAAAATGTTTTGCATAGCCTCTTCCGCAGGCATCTCATAATCGTCGAGAACTTATATAATTTAGTTATTCAAATAACTGATGTTTTTCTGATTGGGTTGAATAACTAAATTATATAGGTTCTCGACGATTAAGAGATGCCTGCGGAGGAGGCTATGTTTTGCAAACTTTGCAGTTGACTCCCTGCAACCGCGCGAAAGTCCTTGCCTCAGAAGTCTGGGACCAACCAAAATGCCTTTATAAATCCGCCATTTTGTGGAGACAAATTTTTTACCGAGAAAAGATAGGAGTACGCATTCTATATCTATTATCTCTATGACCATTTCCAACAGGGGAATATACTTTAGTGTAGTCATAGACATGCACTTACTCCCGCTTCCAAGAGGTTGAAATTGTGAAGTCTACATCAACCCTAACATTCTAATATTAATTCCACCAAGTGAAGTGCAAGAATCCAAATAATTGAAGTCCACCTTATCACAACCCGCACACCCGATT